CTCGTACAAGCACAGCATAAGTTTTCTCACAAATAATACAGAAGAGAAGAAAATAAGTAACAATCTAGATCGTTGGAATTAGAAAGTATAGGGAGAGAAAAGAAAGCAGAAAGAATGAATTTGAAGTAGAAGCCCAAAGGAAGACTCATAAAACAAAAGGTGAGATTCAGCATATGTACAGTACTTGTTCTTTTTCTCATGTGTAATCTAAAACGTCTTCATGAATCATGACACAGAATTTTCATTCCTTTTCATCCTTAATGGATGAAGCGTCGTAGACAGATAGTATATTTAGCACTCTATCATCAACAACTGTATCCTGGATCCATTCGCTTCCTTTATCGATACCCTTTTGAACCCATTTGGAAGGCCAATCCTTTTCCTCGTCCTTTGCCCAATCAACGTCCTCCGGGGTGAATTTTCTTCTCAGATTTTCAACAACTGCGCAAGTCAAACGACCATACTCGTCGGTTAATTCACGCTTGTGGTAGAATCTCCAGATACGTACTGGGGTTTGAAGGAATCCAATCAAATGGTAAACGGGGATAACAGCAATTGGCTGTTGGAAAACAGGGGATACCTTTGAGTCTGTTTGGATCTTGCCTTCAAATGACAACTCTGGTGCAAGTGCTGTTTTAGAGTATTCCAGTGGATCAATGAAAGGACGTGGAACCTTTGCAAGTTTTTCACCTTCTTCGCTGTTTTCATCGTTAGATTCATCGTTAGTCTTGTCATTAGTTTCACCATTGGCGTCTTTATGTTCTTTTTGATCAATATCTTCGCTCTGAAGCTGCTCACCAGCTACAACTGCCACTTCAGCACCCTCCAAAGTATCACTGGATTCTGATTCAGGAGTGGAGTCCTTATCCTTTGTTCCTTCAACGGGAACATCGATATCGACACTATCAATTGGCTTCTCCAACGGACCTAATAGTCCCTCATGTAATCCGTGTAAGTATTCCTTGTATGCACCTCTACCGATACAAATGACACCACCATTGGCAGTAGGATCACTGACAAATGCATCTTCGTTGTGCAATTTCCCCTCATCGAGTGCATTCTTGTAATAGACACCCAAAAGATTTGTTAATGTATACTTATCCTGCGAGATTTTGTCCTCCACAGCCTCGAGGTTCACAGCTTCGTCCTTGGAGCGTGACAAGAAGCGCTTGAGTCTGTTGTACCACTTCTTCGCCTCTTTCTCCCTTTCGAGCCTCTCAGTGTTGTTGAGGACTTCACGACGGAGCGAACGTATCTCGGCAGCAACCGTCGAGCGGATAACACCTTGTCTGTTCTCACTTTGAATTTGGAAGTCGACTCCACCAGCGTTAAGGATTGGCTTAACGTAGCGTCTAAAGACAGCCAGCGATTCATCCAAATAGTCACTTGGTGGAGGCGCAACGTACACGGTGACTTTCCTAGCAGTCAAGTCTGGAGAAAGCGGCTCCGCACCATACTTCGCCACCCTATCCATCCACTTCTTTCTCAAGCGCTTCTGCTCATACTTATCATAGGCGTAGCCGCCAACACCAGTAGCAACAACACACCAGAAGATCATCCAATTACGAGAAGGCAACCGGATTGAGTTGATCCCCATGGCTTTCAACGCAGGGTTCGAGAAACCAGCAGGCTTCTTTGGCTTGACGTCCTTAACTTCCGGTGTGCCCACCGTGGCAGAATCTGCCTTAGCAGATTCCTTAGCGTTGTCCATTATCTCCTCCCGTGACCTGAGTATCAGCTATTCCGGGATCTCTTGATATTGTCGATGAGCTTTTACGATGAGGATTTTAGCGCCAGCCAAGGTCCAAAGCAGAAAAAAAAGCACACAGTGACAAAGCACAGAAGGCCACAAAAAGAAAGATCCGGGCATTTCTTGCGGTCGGAATTTACCCTTTTTGGAACAACACATTGGTGTGTGGATGTCCACCACATCACGTGACCCACTCTCGCCGCGGAACGGAGAAAGGCAACACCAACGAACAGAAAAACTAACACCGGCAGGCGTCGCTTGGGAAAAGGGAGAGCGCCGAAGGGTTCGTAACAATTCCAGCGTACTGTTTTCACATTTACAAGGATTCCCTTCTGTTTTTTCTCTCTTGTTTTGACTACGGGTCTTTAGAAGGTTCTCCCTCTTAATATCTGAGCGCATAAGGGAGCAGATTGACGGTGCTGTTTGAATCTGGGTGTATTTCTTCCACCTCTTTCGGGTTTTTTTGATTTCCTTTGCTGTCTCCTTTCCCTTCGATCATTGGTTTCTCTCTGAGTCACAACAACCGCAGAGTGTTTACCAGCAGCCTCTTTAACACGTTTGGAGGAATAGACTGGTGTTGCGATTCACGAGGAAGATATCTGACGATACAGACGTTTGGAAGGTATACGAGGAGGACGAAGCCGTCGAGGTGACTATTTGCAACGTTAAATGGGAAATACAGCCTCGCAAGAAGAGAACCACAACAACAAGCCAATTGGAGACCACGCTCTATCACCACAGTTCAAGAGCAGTTCACAAACAGGTGTCCACCCACTTCTTAACCCGAAGTGCGTTGAGAACACGAAGCCAGAACCAACGGCGCAGAACATCACGGTAATGGCTCATAGCTTTAGTAACAGCATGGCTGAAGAAGGAGAACAAGGACAACAAGCACACCACGGGCACGAGCAGCAGGACCAGGAAATGTCCGGCATGGGACAGAGTTCCGTGAATATTGCCTCACAACCGAGCGCAATGAGCATCGACGGGGGAGGTGATGAAGAACAGCAAACACTACTGAGACGTAGGTCGACTCTAATATTGACTGATGAGCCAGAGTTTGAAAAGTTGAAGATGGCGAGAGCTGACGAAAGCGTGCCTCAATCACAGGATACCAGCGACCTGACTGTTGACAAGATGGAGGCGTCGGACTCGAAAAGCGCTACGGTTCCAGTGGAGATCAATTGGTTCCAAGGAGGTGAGAACGTTTTCATTACAGGTTCATTCACTGGTTGGAGAAAGATGATCAAGTTGATCAAGGAGAACGACGAAAAGTTTAGCATAAAGTTGAAATTGCCTGTGGGAACACACAGGTTCAGGTTCATCGTGGATAACGAGCTTCGCTTCTCGGATTATTTGCCAACCGCAACGGATCAGATGGGGAACTTTGTGAATTATATCGAAATTCAATCCCCTGAGGCATCACAGATCCAAGAGCAAGAAGGTGGCGTACCTGCGAAGAAAGATTCAAATCTGGGTCTGACCAACGACGATGACGATATGGGTGGTGGCTACTCGAGATTCCATGAAGAGGCACTGGTTCAACCGAAATACGAGTATGTGCGTAGCATACCAGCTATATTCACAGACCCGTCTGTAATGGAGCAGTACTACGTGTCATTGGACCAGCAGAACCAAAATCAGTCCTGGCTGACACCTCCACAACTACCACCACATCTGGAATCCGTGATTCTCAATAACTATTCGAATGCTGATAAGTCAAACGCCTCTGGTGCTCTACCAATCCCAAACCATGTTGTGTTGAACCATTTGGCCACCACGAGTATCAAACATAATACATTAGCAGTCGCCAGTGTGGTGAGATACAAGCGCAAGTACGTCACGCAGGTGTTGTACGCCCCACTACAGTGATACAATTTGTTCATTAATGGGACAGTAAACGTACAAGAGTGTTCTCTAGATCGTGATGTGAATTAATTGGAGTCTTAGACATATTTGACACTGGTGTAGACGGTTCATTGGTGTAGACGGTTCATTGGTGTAGACCGTTCATTGGAGTAGGTGGTTCATTGGTGTAGATGGTTCATTGGTGCAAATTTCTCTCTGCTGTCTGCCAGTTGGGTACCCACCGTCGGAGATTGTAAGCCAGATTGTATGCTTTACACTTACACTCCAAGACCAGTAGTGATATATGGCTCAATATTGCAGTCGAGCCCAGCTTGTTCTTTCGTTATTTCAAAACCCTTTTGCATAAAAAAAGATAATGATTTCGCCCAGGATCGAACTGGGGACGTTCTGCGTGTTAAGCAGATGCCATGACCAACTAGACCACGAAACCATTTTCATGTTGATGAAATTTAGCCTGATATTGGCATCACATTCACAGCAGGCCACAGTATACTGGCACCCCATTATCTTCAGACAGTTATCATTGGCTGTTGGTATGACACATGCCATTCCTGGTGTGTCGCCCTTACTCATCTCACTGAAATCATAATGAGCCGAATCTCTACGCAAACCCGGCCAATTGCGCCAACATTCCAGACGCATTAACAACGGCAGAATGCGATCGATAAACCACGTATAAGCAGCGTAGAACCCTCGCCACAACCGTCTCACATCAATTGGCTCAAACCACAGCTAAAACGCCTTATCATCAGCACTTTTGATGTAAAATGAACTAATTCTCCTATTAATTCAACGCCATTTCGTCATTCTCGTTGGATGCCGAAGACAAAGCAGGCCGACGCACTAAAAAAAAACACATAGCTGGACGCATACGCTTTGGTGCTAATCGGCAGGTCTCACCCAAAATCCCACTTCCAAAACTTTCC